TTTTTAGTCAGACAATGCGAAAGAGTTTTTTCATAGTGATCTCACGGAGTTCTTTGCTTCGCGTGGTTCACTTCACCGTAGCTCTTGTGCCCGAACACCACAACAAAATGGTGTKGYTRAACGRAAGAACCGACATCTCCTTGAAGTGGCCCGGGGTTTACTACTCCATATGAATGTCCCCAAACGTTTTTGGCTTGAGGTTGTTCTTTGTTCTACCTACCTCATTAATCGTATGCCCTCTCGTTGGTTAGAGTACAAAGCCCCACATCAACTTCTCTTTCCTAAGGCCTCCCTTCTTCCCATTCCTCCTCGTGTATTTAAACTATTTCAGCTCCCTTCTCTTTCTGATCCTCCGCCATTTCGTGTCTTCTTTCGTCGTCGCAAAGGCCAACCAAATTCAAGAGCTGTTGAGAATCTAGAAGTTGTACTTCCAGTGCCATCAAACTCCTCGGGGGAGGATCATACCCACTCAGGTAACTTGGCTCCCAATGATGTTCCTGATTCTATTGAAATTGATACCTCTGTTGCTAATGACCTTGACCTTCCTATTGCTCACAGGAAAGGTGTTAGATTGTGCACCACTAAACGTCCCATTTCCAACTTTGTTTCCTATGAGAACATTTCACCCTCATTCCGTGCTTTCCTTACCTCTATTGGTAGTGTCCCTATCCCCAAGAATGTGGCAGAAGCTCTTTCAGTACCTGAATGGACAAATGCCATGAAGGAATAAATAAATGCCCTTCATAAAAATGGCACATGGGAACTTGTAGATCTTCCTAAGGGAAAGGATCCAGTTGGATGTAAATGGGTGTTCACTGTCAAGCATAGGACTGATGGAACGGTGGAGAGGTATAAAACTCGCTTAGTGACAAAGGGGTTTACTCAAGTGTACGGAGTTGATTATGCAGAAACTTTTGCCCATGTTGCCAAGATGAACTCCATTAGAGTTCTTTTCTCTCTTGCTACTAATCTGAATTGGGATCTACATCAGCTTGACATCAAGAATGTATTCTTGAATGGTGACCTTGAAGAGGAAGTTTACATGATTCAACCCCCTGGTTTTCTGGCTTAAGGCAATGAACAGAAAGTGTGCAAATTGAAGAAGTCTTTATACGGGCTGAAACAATCACCAAGAGCTTGGTTCAGCAGATTCCATGTTGCGGTTCAGCAGAAAGGATACMAGCAATGTCAATCAGATCASACACTRTWTGTGAAAAGAGGAGAAGGTAAAATGGCTGCTTTAATAGTATACGTGGATGACATAATTGTTACTGGTGACTGGAAGGATGAAATCCAGAGGTTGAAGGGTTTCCTTG